ACCAAAGAAGTGTACCCTGACCCTGAAACCAGTGCCAAATGAACACACTTTGTCCCTGGAATCAGAGTCAGTGAAAGAAATGCACCCTGGCCCTAAAATTGGAGCCAAAAGACCAGAGAAAGAAACACACTTTGGCCCTGAAACCAGAGCCAAATCTGACCCTAATCCTGTGCAGAAAACAAACCAGTCCCTGAGCAGGAGCTCTGGCCAATCTGAACTCAGCACTGAAATCAGACCACTTCCTACCCTGGAAAAACTTCCCTGGCCCCTAAGAATCCCTTTATAAACCCTGTGTATGTTCAGCTCAGCGGGTCCACCTGCTTCCTTCCAATAAACCTCTTCGATGAGCTTTGGGTGACGATCTTTTGTGGTGGCGGCGGAGCAGAGGCAAAGCCGATACATTGGGAAGCCTTTCCCTGAGGCAAGGCTGTAAGCTGCTAAACTTACTGCAACCTGTGGTAGTCCTTGGCTCCCAAGCTCCAGGATACCTTTCCACCTGAGCTGTGTAACACTCAGTATTCTGTGACTCCCGAGTGCCAGGATACCTGATCTGTCCCGAAACGCTTACAGGGGGTTGGGTAGAGAGAAGAAGGGGTAAGAGAAGAACGTGGAGTGTGATAAGAGGTAAGAGGGCATAAGTGGGCTGGGTCTGTCTCTTAAAGAGGTCCTTTGCACCTGCGTTCAGGCTGTACTCATGGAACCAGGTAACAGGGCAGGCCAGTCTAATGCCTGAACCTTTCTTTCTTTCTTTTTTTTCTTTCTTTTTTTTTTTTTTTTTTTTTTTTGGTTTTTCGAGACAGGGTTTCTCCGTGGCTTTGGAGGATGTCCTGGAACTCACTTTGTAGACCAGGCTGGCCTCGAACTCACAGAGATCCGCCTGCCTCTGCCTCCCAAGTGCTGGGATTAAAGGCGTGCGCCACCAACGCCCGGCATGCCTGAACCTTTCAATGCTGTATTCTGGCCCTCCTGTAGCTCTCCATTTATTTATTTATTTATTTATTTATTTATTTATTTATTTATTTATTTATTTATTTAAAGGCTGAATGTCTCCTCTGGATCTGGACCAGGATCTCCACCTGGGATCTGGTGAAAAGCAGGGACTGACTTGTCGGTTGTGGGGCTTGAGTCCCACCTGTGACTAGTAATGCTCTAAGAACTCCTGCCAGTGTCCCAGCCTCACACACCCCCAAACTGTTCTCGCAACAGAGATTGGAGAGGGTAGATCTGAAAGCCCGTGTGATGGGAATCGTCATCTATAATCCCAGTCAAAAGGATTCAGGTATTATGCTGGTCTGCCCCTGTTACCTGGCAGAATGTACTCAGGCAGTAGTCTGGTCAGCCCAGGGGTCCTACTCTGCACGCAGGTGCAAAGGACCCCTTTAAAAGACAGAGGCCCGCCCACTTATGCTCTCTTCTCTCATTGATCTCTCCTCTTGCTCTTCTCATACCCCCTTTCTTCCTCTTTCCTTCTTCATTCCCTCCCTTCTCCCCCTGTAATAAACTCCATGGTTAATGTATCTCGTATTCATGTTCCATCGAGTGAGCCTTTCTGATTTAAGCAGGTGTTCTGGTGGAAGCTTCACCCCAGCCCGTGGCATCCATATAACAACACAGTCTGGAATGTTCTGGTGGAAGCTTCACCCCTTCACCTCTATCTCTCTCCCACCCCTGTGTTGTGCCCAAATTCTGAACCCCAAAATCACCAAGAGGCCCATTTTGATGCAAAAGCAAAGAGTTTTATTGTAGATGTTTAACGAGCTAACCCCATTAACTCAGGCCCTTCACCCCACCACCATGGTGAATGGCTGGAGAAAGACCCCAAGCAAGCTCGAGGCAGGGATCTTAAAGGGCAGTTATGAAACAGTCTCAGGATTGGTGTGCTTCCAGGTTGGGTGACCCGCCCTGTGTTGATTGGTCAACTGGTTGCTATGGCCCATAGGCCCTCCCAGGATGGTTGCTATGCCCTGTACGTCACTGTAGTGCACTGTCCATAAAGCACACCCAGAGTCGTAAAGCACAGCCCCACCAGCTAACTTCTGATTGGCTCCTTGCCACAAGGAAGACATCTGACCTTAGTGACCAGGACAGGAGCTTACAAGGTCATGCAAGCACATGTTAGCCTGTCATGGCTGCTAAAATGGGGGACTGGTCACTACACCTGCTGCATCTCTTTCCCATCTCCTGCAAAGCCATCCATTAAATGTGGACTTTTTCTTTTGGTTTTTTGAGACAGGGTTTCTCTTATTGTTTTGGAGGTGAAAAACCTCGGCATCAAAGCGCCGGGCACTGAACCGAACCCTCTGCCCAAGAACCGGGGCCAGACCACTGGCTGCAAATGCAAGAGGTGATTTATTGAGTACACAGGCGCCTGCGGATGCTACTGCAACTCGGGTGCAGAGCATACCGGGCTTTCAGGGAGTATAATATTTATAGAGTTTCAATGGTTACATAAGTAACAGGCATTTTATTGGCTCATCTTGGGGGCAGGGGTAGTTCCCACGGACTAAGTTTCCTGGTGTTATTTTATGAAAGACCCAGGCATACTTCAGCAATTATTATCCGGGTCCCATGACTACTATGGTGATCATAGACACAACTGGGGGCAAGGGTAGTTGCCAAGGACTAGGAGTCCTGGTATTGTCATATGAAAGTTCCCAGCACGCTTCAGCAATTATTATCTGGGTCCCATGATTGCTATAGTGATCAGACACAATTGGGGGCCAGGGTAGTTGCCAAGGACTAGGTTTTCTAGTATTGTCATATGAAAGTTCCCAGCACGCTTCAGCAATTATTATCCGGGTCCCATGACTGCTATAGTGATCACAGACATCCTGTTTTGAGGGTGAAACACCTGGTCTGGGTTTCTTTCATTAGGCAACGGCCTGGCCTTGCTTTTCTTTTCCTAGGGGGTCCTAGGTAGGGGTCTTTCAGAGGCTGTCCTGGAACTCACTCTGTAGACCAGGCTGGCCTCCAGCTCAGAGATCCACCTGCCTCTGCTTCCCGAGTGCTGGGATTAAAGGCATGCACCACCAACAGCCGGCTAATGTGGGCTTTTTCTAATTTGGTTTGATTTGGTCTGATTTGGATTGCTGTATCCTCAGGATTATAGGGGTGAGAAACTTTTCAAGTCACAGGGGGATTCAGGAATTCGATTGTCCTGAGCTACACTGTAAGTTTGAGGCCAGTTTGGGGCTCTAAGAAACCCAGTTAAAGGGCCGGGAGGTGGTGGTGCACTTGGGAGGAGAGAGGCAGGTGGATCTCCAAAAGCTACACAGAGAAACCCTACCTCTAACCCCTGCCGCCACACACACACCTCAAAAGAATTAAAAAAAAAAAAAAAGAAAAAGAAATCCAGTTTCAAAAGTAAAAATTACAAACAAAAAAATTGGACAAGTGTGTAAGCTTTGAAGTGTAGGAACTTCTCCAAGTCAAGATGACCTTCCTTCCCTAAATCTGGTTGAGTCTTCCCTCAGGAGAGTGGGAGGATGTGTAAGAATAGACCCAGCAGGAAATCCGGGGCCTGGGTTGCCCAGGGCCGCACAGTTTGCAAATGGAGGGGCTGGGAATGTGCTGGTCTTACCACCTGGAAGTGGGGGGGGGGGGGGGGGAGAGGAGGAAAATAACAGCCCTGGGGACAGTGTGGGAATGTGCCGCAGGAGTGAATGGGAAGCAGGCTCTGGGATGGTTCTCCTTGGAGCTCAGTTAGCACCCTGGCCTTTGGCTCCAGCCAGCCTGGGAGGGGTCAACTGGGGCTGTCAGACTCAGGGAAGGAAATCAGGAGGCCCTGCCCAACACTGACCTCTTCCTGAAGGCCGAGAAGGGTGGGGAGGTCTTGTATGCCTGCACCCTCCACACCCTGGCCTAGGAGGACCCTATAACTGCAGGAAGCACGGGAGGAGACATTAAAGGGGATTCGAGTGAGGGTTGATGGGAAGTTGATCAATGTTCTGGGGTGAGATGAGAGGGAGAGGCTGAGCTCTTGGGCAGCCTCTGGAAAGTAAACGTCCTCTTGACTCGGTGATTGTTCCCAAAGGCTCCAGCTTTTGGATCCAGGATACAGAGCTGAAGGGTTTAAAGAGACTTGGGGGAGCCGGGCATGCAAAGGCAAGGTCTTCTGACTGCTCCCTTCCCCATCCCACCAGTCAGGTCTTGCTTACTTAGAAGATGAAGGTTGTGCAGAGTGCAAATTCATCTCGGAATTAGGCGCCCACCCTAGAGGAACCGCCCCTCCTTGTGCTTAGGCTCAGGGCCACGCCCACCATGACTCTAGTGGCCCCGCATGGCTGAAACCCTACATGGGTTCCACCTAATGTCATCGTGTCCACTTGGTCCAGTCAAGACCCCTGGGACACCCCAACTCTGAGACAGGACTCCAAGCGAGGCACCCCTTTAACACAGACATTTTTATTGGCAAAACCTATTCCCAAGCACGGCGGGGAAGGGCGCTGGCAGAGTGGGCGGCACAGTGCCCACTCTCTTTGGCAAAATTCAAGGAGAAGGGCAAGACTGGAGGGGAGGACAGGGGTGTGGCCTTCGGGGCAGTCCCAGTCGCCCCAGCAGCTCCCACCAGGAGGGCTCTGTGCTCCCTTACACCGCATCAGTCAGTCCTCCCAGCCGGTACCATTCTCATGCTGTTCCCATGAGGAAACTATTCTAGTGCGGTGGTGTGCTGGGAGGCCGGTGTGTGATTTCAGAGACACCCGGGGTCTCCCACGGGGGCCCACTGCCTGTTCACTCAGTTTTCCACTTCTCACAACTGCGGGTTCTTTCAACTCTTGTTTTTTTTTTAATATTTGTGTTTTGTAAAAAAAAAAAAAAAGATATTTATCCATGTTCTGAGCAAGCCACAGCCTCCATGTCCAATGGGTCCAACCTTGGGTTCCCCCAAGATTCAGTTTCGTTGGGGTTGGACACAGCAGGCCTCTCACCGGGGCACACAAGAAGCATTTAAAAAATGCAATTAATAAATTACAATCCTCCCACCCACCCTTCATCCCCATCCAAGTCCAAAGCACTGTGTGTTGACCCACCCCGAAGCAGGGGTTTGACCCAGTCCGCTCTATGTCCACCAGGCCCAGGGCTCTTAGTAGGCGACTATGGAGTAAATGAATGAATGAATGAGTGAGTGAATGAATGAGTGACTGGTGGGAGGAAGCAAGCACTTAGGAGTGTGAGTCCCAGTCCCTCACCAGGACCTTACTCTACCGGGTGCCTCTCTGGGTGTAGAGAATAGGGTCTTGGGACCGGGTTGGGACAGAGAAGGGAAGGAAGTCATCAGGGAAGGAGGGATGTGTGGAGCCTTGGCTCAAGTCCCTCTCTGGAGCCCAGGCACTGTGTGACCTCAGGTAGGCTCAGAAAATGATGAGTGCTTTTGAATGGTCCTTTCACATTTGCCATTGGTCCTCAGAGACCATGTGGTTACATGGGCATTATTATCAAGGCATACATTTTATAGAGTAGAAGCAGAGGCCAGAGAGGTCAAGGGACTTACATAAGGTCACACAGCCAGCAGGAACCTGAAGACTGCCCTCCATCTCTCCCCCTTGCTATTTATAACTGTGCCATGTGTGCCATGAAGGAAGGGAGCTCCCATATAGAACCCATATAGGCTCAAGAGACTGTGACCCCAATTCCCTGATGTGGCTTCTGGTCATCTTCAGTCAGAAAATCCAGTGTACCTTAGGTAGAGCGTTTCCTAGACAACCTTTCCTTCCCCACCCACAGCCATGAGATGCCCATGAATGCTCTTCCTGGGAGGAGAGTGGAATGGTTGGGGGCCTGGACCTGCCCCTCACACAGGCATGGGCACTTCATCATACTCATCCAGACCTTCCTCATCGTCAAAGGTTATTTTTGCATCATCACCATCCAGCTAGAGGGTGGGAGGAAGAAAGGGTGAGAGACTGGACAGGACAAGCACTTTCTGGAACTCACAAAGCATGTTTGGAGTTAGGAGCCAGCCTGGACAAGACTCGTGCTGTCCCTACAGTATAGGGTTGGTCTAGATGAGTGGTTTACATAGGGTGAGTGGCCCCTGGGGGTCTGGTGAGGAGGACCTGCAAAAGGTGGGCAGGGGATCCTTTCACCATGACAGCCCCAGCCCTACCCTGACTGTCCCTAATAACTTGGGAGATGATGGCACAGTCTGCTAACCAGCTCGTGTGGAACACACCCTGTGCACCTCGTAACGCTGCCAACCTGTCATTATTCCTCCCTGCGCTGGTGAGGCACAGATTAATGAGGTCACTTGCTCCAGATCATACGGTGGGACACAGCAGACCAAGCCTGAGACAAAGGCTCTGAACACAGACTGGTTTTTTTCCTCTTCCTTAAGATGGGGTCTTATGTAACTCAGGCTGGCTCTGAACTATGTGGTCAAGAATGACCTAGGATTCCCGATTCCCTTGCCTCTACCCCCCTAGCGCTAGGATTATAGGTGTGTGCCTCCACATATAGTTCATGTGGTGCTGGGAATTGAACCCAGGATCTTCCCGAAGGAGATAAGCATTCTACCAGCTGAACGACCTCTACTGCTAAACCCACGGCTATCTGCTTCACTCTGCTGTCTCCCCAGCTCCAAGACCTTCACGCTACCAGGCTCTCTGCTGTCCCTCTCCCTCCCCTCCAGAGCCCCCACTACTTACACACTGGAGTTCCAGCTCACTGAAGATGATCGGAAGCAGGAAGCGACGCAGGGGCACGGTGAGGATGAGGACAAAGGGCAGGGCCAGAGAGGCGGAGGTGGACTTCACCACCCACAGCGCCGCCAGGCAGGTGATCTGGATACCCGTGAACAAGTGCATGCGCCAGGTCTTCACCTGCGGGGAAGTGGAGGTCACCGGCTGCCCCGCTCTGGCACCCTCGCCCCACTCTGGCTGGACAGCTTCAAAGTCACATACCCGCTTGGCAAAGGGCACATCGGGGTGGTACTTGGGTGGCTTGAACAGAAGCAAGATGCGGTCAAAGAGCTGGATGCCGCTGAGGGATGTGACCCCCATGTACAGGAAGATGCCGAACAACACGGCCAGGGGGATACGGGACAGGATAGGCTCCATGAGGATCGACAGTCCTGTGTGGGAGGACACTGTTAGTTCAGGTCACCCAAGGACCAGCCCTGTTTAGTTCAGGTCACCCAGGGCTCAACTCATCCTCAGGACTGACCATCAAACCACAAATGCCATGGGACACTTCTCTGCAATAGCTGTTTATAGGCTCAGAGGTAAGCAACTTCTAAGGCTTTGCTTTCAAGAACTCACAGTCCTGCCTGCCTGCCTTACACCCACTCCCTGAGCCTAGAGGGTGCAGTCACCATGATCAGATGATCCTGTTTTGCTCCTCACCCCAGAATGTCTCCTCCATCTTCTACAGAAGGGAAGAGAAGGAGAGGCAGAGAAGGGGGAACTTGAGATCTCTGCATCAGTGACTATGGCTGCTCTCCCAGCTGGACTCAGCTTCTCTAGAAACCCTGGAGCCCTGCAGCCCAGGAACCCTCAGCCTTAGACTGAGCTGTGGTGTGAGTCCTAGAGCAACTGATGTGGAAAAGAATTCCAGGGATTAAATAAATCCTCTAACTGTGCAGATAGGGAAACTGAGGCCCCAGGCCAGGGAAGTTACCCAGCCAGCAGCAGGGCAGGGTGAAACCCCACAGTCTATTGCGTGTTTGTTGACTATGCTTGTGGAAGCAGGAATGGAGGCAGGGTCTGATCTGAAAAGCCCAGCAGTGTAGTCCTCCTGCCCTGCACAAACACCCAGCCACCACCTTGTCCCGGGGCCCTTGTGCTTCCTGACTTCTGCTAGGTCCCCTCCTGCGAGTAATTGGTGCTGAGGAGGCTTGGGCAACTGATGTGTACGATGCAGAGTAGACAGGATGGGAGTTTTGTCTCCAGTCCCAAGAGAAGGAGTCAGGATTAGTTAGGGGAGAATGGTGGAGGTGGGAGCCCTAAGTGGGTGGCCCACCAGTCCTAAGAACAAGGGCCAGGATGGAGTGGAGCAGGGTGGCAGGGGCATGGCCCGCCTCACTTACCCACAAGCACAGAGACCAGGAGCCCACTGATCCGCTGCTCTTTGACCTCTTGGATCTGACCACTGCCCTTGCCCATGACTGTGAGGGCATTAGCATGGGTAACAGAGCGCACAGTGGTGGCACTGAGCCAAGGCATCCCAAAGAGGGCGGCCACCCCACCCATGCCAACCACCAGCAGCAGGTCCAGATGGAAGCCGGAGCCCTTGATCACCTTGCGCTCTGGTTTGCTGACAATCAGCCTAGAGGTGGAAGAAGGTCTTGTGAACGGGGCCCTCCGTAGGTCCCCCGCTCCTCTTTTTGATTACTGTTCCCATTTTTTCTTTTATTTCCTGGCTCCCTCCCTCTGGCTATTTGAGACTCAGACTCTTGAGGGCTAGAAGTCTTCAGAACACCCTTAAGCATTCTTGCCCAAGTCAGGAACCTGGCCAGTTTAGGCCCCTCCCACCCTCCAGCAGCCCATCGCATAGCTCACTGTTTACATGGTCTTCCAATGATGCCACAAAATTCAGAATTGCCTCTGATGGTCTATCACTCACTCCCATCTGCTAGCAGAGGGCCACTGGACAATCTCCTGCTGGCCCAGAGCCTGCTCCCCCCCGCCCCCCACCTCCAGCCCTCCCTAGCCACGCCTCTAGCCTTGCTCTTACGTGGTGATCTGAGACTCAAGAAATATGAGGATGAAGACCAGCAGGGCAGGCAGGGCGGACGCAAACATCATCCAGGATGGAAAATCACTGTACAGACCCAGAGGGTGGATGACCCAGCCCCGGGCAGTGGAATTGGACACTTTGAGGCCATCAGGGACTGAGAGTTTCTGTGAGAGAAGACGGTTGGTGAGACTGTGGGCCAGGCAGATAGGGAGAGGTAGGGGCTGGGAAGCCAAGGGCCTGGGGCAGGGAGTTGTGTTGAAGTGCACATGGACTACTGAACATTTATTCTGTTCCTAGCTAGTTCTCTAAGCCCTTTGTATGTACTTCTCATTCTTAATGTTATAGATGAGGGAACAAGAGCAGAAAGGTTATTATAGCTTGCCCCCATGCTGCACAAAGATCTGCCCAGCTCAAAGCCACTCTCTTCTACTGCCCTGACCAAAGGAATAAGAAGGGCAATGTAGCCTGGGCTCTTGCTTGGGTTAGCATGGTCCTGAGGGACTATTGGAAGACCAAGAATGGGGAAAGAGAGTTCTAGCTGGCTTTGGATTAGGAAAAGCTATTCTGGCAGGACATGGGGAGAGGAAGGAAATGAAAGATTAGAGTAGCAAGGCAGAGGATGAGGAAGAGTCACCTGGGTGTAGGTGTCCTTGATGAAGGAATCAACCACCACCATTATCAGGATGGAGATGGGAACTCCGAAGTCTCCAATGACTCTACGGAGCTGTGGGCAGATGAAGGAACCAGTTGTTCATATCCTGACTCCTGCCCATTTTTCCTTCCCATCCTACATTTACCACAGATTCTGTTCAACCCAAGGGGTTCATCAAGAACTAATGATTGTCTTTACTCCAACCATCCCTGCCTTCCTTCTTCCTCTGCCCCCACCCTGCCCTGACCTCACCCTTCATCCCTCTCCCAAGAACTGTCTATCTATGGTTCCCTGTTGGAGCTTGGTTCTCAGCAGAGATGGCTTTGCCTGCTACATGAACCCTGGTATTGGGAATAGAGACGTGGGGTAGGAAGGGGAGCCAAGGGTACTGGAGAAGCTAGGGGTTGGTGAAGGTCCAGATAGGGGTGCACTGACCTTGCCAGGGAAGTAGGTGCTGTTCTTGAACTTTCGAAGCATCATGGCAAGTAAGAAGGTACCAGCCATGAGCACAAGGGATAAGAGGGCCGTGTTGGGCACTGGGCCTTGAGGTTTGGGCTTCATTGGAACATATGTATAATTCAGTTGTAGTGGGTAATCCTGGAAAATCTATAACAGAGAAACAAAGCATTGGGTTTCCTCCCAAGTCTTTACTGTAACTTGACAGTATCGGATACGTTGACTGGGCACTATTATCTATCTGTCTTTACATCCATCCATCTACCCATATACTGCCCACATGACCATCACTTGCCATCCATCCACCCATGCATCCATCCATCTGTCCACCTTCTTCCTCATCTGACATATTAACCAGCTTGTTTCTTAGAGACGAAGAAAAAGTTAGCTTGTGTAGGAAGGGTCAAAGATGTTTGGGATGTAAAAAGACTGGGAGTCAACAATAAGTAATAAGAAGGTTTACAATAAGGGCTTAAGGAATTGGTGACAGTGACAGCATTTGCCTAACATGCAAGAGGTTTGATCCTCATCACAATAAGTAAGTAAATAAATAGGGTCACTTTTTTTTGAGATAGGGTTTCTCTGTGTAGTCCTGGCTGTCCTGGAACTCACTATGTAGACCAGGCTGGCCTTGAACTCACAGAGATCCACCTGCCTCTGCCTTCCAAGTGCTGAGATTAAAGGCATGCGTCACCACCACCATGGGCTGAGGTGACCCTTCTTCCATAGACAGTACAGATGTGGAGGTAGGCAGAGCTTTTGGGGGAGGGGACAAGCTAATGAGGCAGAGGTCCTGCAGGGTTATGGAGGCCAAGAGCAGGAGAGGAAAGGCCTAAGCATCCGCTGTCTCTCTACACGTGGTTTCCCAGGCCATCATACACATAATTGTGTGGTCATGAACATGGGGAAGTGTATATAGAGGTGCCTTCTCTTATACAGTCCCCCTGTCCAGGCATAGCATAAGCAATGAGTCCCTAGCCTTTATGGGATCCCAAGCAACCCAATTGCACAGTCTTAAGTGAACCCAGAAACATGCATGTGCCCATGTTCGTGGTTGTGCATACAGGTGGAAACATGGCTGCAGTCATGCCGTACAGACATGCATGGTAACACACCCTCACACATATGCTATGTGTGTTAGCATCCTCCGGGCCCCACCTTGATCAGCTTGGAGAAAGTCTCATAGATGAAGATGAGGGAGATGAGGAAGGAGAAGATCTCCTGGGTGTATCGGGAGATGAATCGGACCAAGAAGCTGCCTTCAAAGGCCACCACCAACACCACCAACAGAATGAGCCAGAAACCAATCCATGCACGGCCCACTATATACTCCATGTTATTGCTTTCACAGAACTGCGAACAGACAGAGGAATTCTGGTCAGACAAATATAGGCTTAGTCACCTTGTGAGCACCAGGCAGGTGAGCTACAGGGTTGGGGTCAGTATGGGGCTGGGATAGTGCTACCGAGTAGAAAGCTTCCTCAAACACCAGCAGGGGTCCTGAGAAGCCAAGCACCAGCAGGGGCTGTGCTGCCAGGAGAGCAAAGAGAATGCCTTGTACCGCTGTGGAGATGAGCAGCTCCGACACACCTATCAGGTTCTGAGTCTTTTCTCCTGTGGGAAAAAGCCACACAAAGGTCAAGATGGAGAGATTATTTCCAAGGGTCAAAAGAGTAAATCATGGGGCATGATGTAAGCACACATAGCATCAGACTGGCTCAGAGGGTTACCAGGACTATAATTGTCACTGACCAAGAAGGCCACCAAAGGTGACGGCAGGTGACAGGGCAGCAAAGTAGATGAAGATAACGGCAGCCAGGACCTGGGGGCTGAGCGCATCTGTGATATCACTCAGATAGTAAGGATAACGGCGCCGGATGTCGCGTATCAGGCCTCCAAAGATCCGGCCTGTGCGCCGCAGAGGGTCATCTGCACCACCAGGACCGCCGGGGCCCCCATTCAATTCTGTTATAGAGGATAGGAACATGGTCAGAAGGGCTAATAGGAATGGTCAGGGTGATAGGGACACTTGACCACAGGGACAGACGCTAGGGGGTATTTGACAGGAAAGGGGAGCTGTGCTGGGGGCCCAGGGCCCCATGGGAGATCAGAAAGCACCATCAAGGACAGAACAGATACCTAGGGCCTTGTATAAGGCAGGGTCTGGCTTGGCAGCACTGGGCAGGTAGCGTCTTCTAAGCAATTCTTTCTGCACCGGTATCAGGTTGAGCAGAGCTTGCTCTGAAGGGGCATCGGTGGGGGGCAGTACCAGGCTACAGTCCAGGAAACCCTCCAGGGAACTCAGCAGCTCCCCTCGGCTCTGTGCCAGATAGGCAGCTGTGCGGAACACCTATGGGAGGGAGGAAGGGAGGGAACATTGGGACTGTAGACAGGAGACATCAGGTTAGCAGGGCAACCAAGTGGTGCCTGCCTGTAGTCAAGAGGTGGAGATAGGAGGCCTGCCTTAAGTTTGAGGCCATCCTGGGCTACATAGCAAGCTCCATGCCAGCCAAAGCTACCTGGTAAGACCTTGTCTCAAAAAACTTGAAGACTGGACCTGTGTAGCCAGGGAGCAGCCACCAAAACCATGGCTGTCTTTATAGGGTCTGGTTCTTTCTGCTCCCTCTGCCCTCTAAGGACCAACTTTGGGGAGACAGGCACCCTGGATGGGGAAAGAGGAGCTAAAGTATCCCTGGTGGGCTAGGCACACCACACAGCGGGTTGGACCAGTTAGAACCGGTCATAGTGGGCCAGACTGGATCAGACTGGACCAGTCAGTCCAATGCAATCCAGGTTAAGACTGGACCTGCCAGGCCAGGCAGGAACAAGCGAATTCAACCCAGTGGATCCAAACAGTGAACTTAAAGTTAAGTCGGCCAGTCCAGGGGGAGAGAGAGCTTGACGTTTTCTGCCCTCCCACCAGCTCCCTGGCTAAACAGCCACATGGCCCCTGCTCACTCGTTCTGTCATGAGAGTAGCTGCAGCCCTGCCCAGCTGGGTGTAGTCGACATGGGGAGCCTCGGGTCCCAGCAGAACGAAGAGGAAGTGCACAGGCTCCCGCATCTCCAGGTCCTCCAGCTGCACAGCTTCCTTCAGTCTCACGAAGCCCAGCACGGCCCTCTCCAGAAAATTAGCACGGCCTGTAGGAGGCACCACATGGTGAAGCCAGGCCTCTGGGACTCAGTGTACGGATTCAAGAGGAGGGGCTGCCCAGGGCCTGAAGTGGGGTACGTGGAGGGGAAGGACTCTCACCTACTAGTACCAGTACGGCTTCTGAATCTAGGGGGATCTTCAGAATTCCTTCTGGGCTCCCCTCTGCCTGTGGGGAGGAAGGTGAGGAAAGGGGTCCTGGGGTCACAGAGAACCTAGGAGACCTGAGCATCTAGCCTTTGCTTCTCCCAACCCCATTCCAGCCTCACCTGCCCACAGTACAGCTCGGTCTCCAGTGATGGCTGCTGGGGAAGCAGGGGCTCACAAGGGCCCCCAGAGCGGGTCAGGATGGCAGGCTTCACTCCCTCCAGCGCCTTTAGGTCCTCAGCATGGCTACAGAACATACAGGTGACAGGAGCTGAGTAAGCTATTTGGACTGAATTTTCCATAAAAGGGAGACTACTGGTGGGAGGGTCAAAGGTGAACGTACAGCGGACTTTCCCAGTGACCAGGCTAGATGGACTCTAGAGGAGGAAAAGCAGAGTCTCCTCTTAAAGGACAGTGTGGTGGAAGCAGGCGGGCCCTGTCTCACATGTCTACGTGGGAGCAAACAGCGGACAGAAGAAAGGGCCTCGAGCCCGTGCTCTGTAAGTGTGAACTTGAGGTCGTGCTCTCCCTTTGGGGATGTCACACAGACGTGGGAGCTATGGTGCAGGAAGAATAGTCCCCTTGCCTGCTGGGGTGGGGTCCACTTGGGGGAAGGTAGGGAGACCTTGGGGTAGGGGCCTGGGAGGAGCCCATGCGAAGCCTCGGTCCTGGCAAGCAGAGCACCTGCGTTTGAGTAGCAGAGCCCGGAGCAGCTCGTCTCTGTCCTGAGGCCGAATCTGGTCCTCGTAGATGAAGCTGTCTAGAAGCTTATTGGCCACCCCAGCCAGGGATGTCTCTGCCAGATCCAGGAGCACGGTGCCTGTAGGCAGTGTGGGGGGGGGGTGACCTGAGTGGCTGCTCAGCTCTGCCCCAGCAAGTCTCCAATGCAGCAGCCGCAGAGGGCCCGGCCGGACTCACCTTTTGAGAAGACTCTCTGCAGCTCTAGAAGGCTCCAGAAGGTGAGGTAAGGCAGGTGTGGGCGGCCCCACACACCATCCTCTCGTAGGTTTTCTTCCAGCCCCATCCAGTGCGCTGCCTCCACCCACTGTAGCTCCTGGTTCCTCTGGTCCATCCTTAGCTCCTGTAGCTCCACATAGACCTGGGACCCACGGCCCAAGTTAGCACATCGAGCCCCGGGCAAGCCCAGGGGCAGCGGGAGGCCTGGATCCTGGGGGCACTCAGCTTAAAGCTAGGCTTAGAAAAGGCACTGGGCCCTGGAAGGAGCATGGATCCTGTGGGTCTGGCCCAGCCCCTGGCCACATGCCCCATCCTCCTCAGCAAGTCACTTCTACATTTCAGAGGACCCAGAGGCACCTCAAGTATCCACTTGGTCAGAAAATTGAGGCCTGGTGACCCAGGCTGAAGGGGCTGGGAAAGCCTCTGGGTCTCTAAGAGTATTGAGGGACATGACTCATACTGTCCTGGGCCAGGTGGTTACTCTCAAGGCCACAGTTTAGGCACCCAGTTTCTAACCAGCTAGGCAGCCTGGTGTTCAGCAAGGACTTGGGTGCTGGGGTAGAGGAGAGCGTGCACTTGATTCTATGTCTCCAGTGAGCATCTAGCCTAGCCAGGCCTGAAAGCCCCGGCTTAGTCCTCAGCAGTAAGAAAACAGTCTGCAGGGAACTCAGAAACAGCCCGTTTCCCTGCTAGCGAGAATGTCCCTTTCCATTCCACTGATGTCCTAGGATGATCCCTCCATCCTGCTTGGGTGTGTATGGGGTGTCTCCTCCAGCCTGATTCTCTCTCTTTCCCTTCCTGTGGTATGTAATGGATCTCAAGGCAACTTGAGAAAGAGGAGGGGGTCTGTGTCCTCACCTGATAGGAGCTTCGGCGCGATGTGGAGGTGCTGGTGGGGGTGTAGTATGTGGCTACCGGCTCTGTGGGAAGAGCTGAAAACCCAGGACCAGTTAGCATAGACCTCACTCAGGCCTCACTGTACTACTTGCAGGGAGCCTCAGGAACCCACACCCTCCACTTGCTCTGGGCTAGGACCCCCGCCCAACCCCACATCTGCGCCTGTTCTGGGCCCATCTTGGATCTGCCACCCTCTGTCTGAGGAACCCTGAATTCATTGTGGTGATCCAAGCCCCTAGCCTGACCTGTCCTAAGTAAGGATAGGGAGAGTCCCAAGTTCTAGTGTTCAAAACCAACCTAGCATCCCTTCCCTCCCCTGTCACATCTGGGACCAGACTTCCTTGCCTCTTCCCACACCGCCGGCATAGCTAACCCGCCTGCTGGTAGCCTCTTACCACACGCCACTGAGATAGGGTGAGCCCTTATATTCCCCTCGTTCCCGAGGGGCCTCTTAACTTCAAATCTGATCACTCCTTATATTCCCTTGTTTCCCGAGGGGCCTCTTAACTTCAAATCTAATCACTTGTACTTAAGCCCTGTTGACAGTAAACGGTCCCCGCCTCAGGCTCCCCACCTAAGACCTTGGGCAGTCCAAGGAGGGTGGTATAGACTCCTGGAGTCCCTGCTCAGGCGTCCCCACAGTTCTGTCCCATTTCTCAGGGTCTCTAGCTGACTAAACAGAAGGAAGCTCCAGCAGCAGGCCTGCTGCTTGGCCTCGATGCTCATGTGGGACAGGCAGGGTAGCAGCTGAGTTTGTGCCCTTGTCCTAGACATACCTGGCTGCCCTGTCACACGTGAAAGGGGCCCAGCCTCCCAGTCACCTCCTGTGATCATTTCAAACAAAACGTTGTTTATCCTTCAATCAGCCAGGATTGGGGGAGAATTGGCTCCTGGGCTGCACTGTGGAGACGGGGAGGACTGGGTCCCTGAGTCCCTAGAGGGACTTGGCAGCTCCTCTAGAAGACGCAGAAGAGGAGGGATGGGTCTCACCTTCTGGCTCCTGCATCTGGACCACAGGCGGGTCTAGGTCTCTATATGCTATCTCCTCTATAATGTTTTCCAGGTCCTCTTCACTATCCCGATCTGGGATCTCCAGTACTTCCTCATGGTCCTGTGGGAAGAGGCCATCACGGTTGGTTTGAGTGGCTCCCCAAGTCCCCTGAGGAGCAGCAGCCCAGCTTGGCTTCCAGAGCATGGATCAACAGGCACTTACCTGCTTGTCCCCCATGATGCTGTCCTCAGTGTCCAATTGTCCTCGGCTATCTGAGGCCCCAGCATAACCCGCACCTCAGGTCCCTGGAAGAGGGGGTGCAGGCTAAATGAGGCACAGTCATGTCACTTACCCTCAACTGGCCTCCTGCTGCTTCTGGGTTCCCCCTAAGGGAGCTGAATTTAGTGCCAGGAGGGCCCTGAGGACTTAAGAAGGATCAGACGGAGGCAAAGGACATGAAGGAAGAGAGTGAGTTTGTAGGTGTATGGCTCTGTGGGCTGAAGGACACATTAGTACTGCTCTCCTTACTGTGTTTGATACAAGAGGTCAAATGACATGGTGTCTAGCTCCATCCTGCATCCAACAGGCCTTACCTAATGGCTCTTTCTGAGTCCCAAGGACTCAGATAATTCCCGGGCACGACCTACTCCTTCCTCAGGGGGCTTGGCTCCCCTGAGAGTCTCCACAATTCATTCTCTTCTAGAAATGGCTGCTTCTGCCTGGATAACAGGTTGCAGTGTCCTTGCGAGTGGCCCACAGATCCTGAAGGATGTAAGCCTGTTTCCTTCCCATCATTTGAACCCTACCTCTCTGGCTTGTTTTATCCCTGATCTATTGGCTTAATTCCAGTTCCTAGAACTCACCAAAGCCTTGCCTACCCCAGGGCCTTTGCACATCCACTGCCTACTCCCAGATGCACCCTCCTTCTGCCAACAGCCTGTCTCTTATCTCAGTTCTGATATCACTCTTTCACAGGCCCTCCTTAACCACCCTGCTAGTCCCTGACCCTATCAGCCCTGGTTTCTTGATTGATTTGTGTACAATTAATTGTCTGACACATCATTTAGCAAGAAAGACCCTTGAATGCAAAGTCCCTGCGCATGTCAGTCCTCATGGAGTTCCCACACCTAGTAGTCATCCTGACTGCACCACAGACCAAGCTCCATCCAGAAGCCACAAAACCTCGGCCGGCCTCTTTTCTCAAGACAAAGGTGTACCCGCACTGGAATGTGGGGGCGGGTCATCTAATGTGCCAGTCTGGGTGTGGAGGGGCTTTCTTTCTCTCACCACTGCCACCTAGAATACTGGGGTGACCAGCACCTGGGTGGGGTCATTGAATGTAGCCGCTTGGCTGAGCACAAGATGCTCAGCTGAGTGTGCCCTTGCTCTTAAGGTGACCTAATGGATGGAATTTAGGAGGCCACCCGTGCTGGACGCTGCAGTGAATGTCACAAGAGGAAGAGTAAGACTCAGGTGCAGGGCAATGGGACCTCAGGAGGGGTCTCAAGAACCAGGTAAAGAGGCCCCATCTAGGTATGAGGAGAGTGAGGAGAAGTCTGGAACAGAGAGGGGGAGGAGGAGGAGAGCAGAGGGGTAGAGTGCAGCAAGCAGGGGCAGCAAGTGGAAGGCAGGGGACAGGGAGCAGAAGACAGAAGGACAGAGGGGTGGAGGGTGGAGGGCAGAGGGTAGATGCAGAGCCATGCAGTCATGCTAGGGGCCATGCAGAGGGGTAGATGCAGAGCCATGCAGTCATGCTAGGGGCCATGCAGAGGGGTAGATGCAGAGCCATGCAGTCATGCTAGGGGCCATGCAGAGGGTAGATGCAGAGCCATGCAGTCATGCTAGGAGCCATGCAGAGGGGTAGATGCAGAGCCATGCAGTCATGCTAGGGGCCATGCAGAGGGGTAGATGCAGAGCCATGCAGTCATGCTAGGGGCCATGCAGAGGGTAGATGCAGAGCCATGCAGTCATGCTAGGAGCCATGCAGAGGGGTAGATGCAGAGCCATGCAGTCATGCTAGGGGCCATGCAGAGGGGTAGATGCAGAGCCATGCAGTCATGCTAGGGGCCATGCAGAGGGTAGATGCAGAGCCATGCAGTCATGCTAGGGGCCATGCAGAGGGTAGATGCAGAGCCATGCAGTCATGCTAGGGGCCATGCAAAGGTCTAGGACAGGGCATATGTTTAGAAAGAGCCATACAGAGAATTTTCTGGCTCTTGGACAGTCGTGAGCTTCTGGAAGGGAGAGGCATTGTCCAGTGCTTAGGAGTGGCAAGTGACCGCCACAGCAGTGTTCTCAAGTCTGAGAATGGGCAACCCTCTGCTGGGGTCTTGTCCCATGCAGCCCCGCTACCCATCACTTCCTCCCCTCTCTCTTTTCCATCTTCCTTTGCCAAAGGCCCCCACCCAGTTCTTCTCTTCTATCTGCATTTTTCTTTTTCCCTCTCTGGACCTGCCCACACTGTTTTCTGACTGGGCCTCGGGTCCTGGGGTACCAAAATCCCACTGTGGGGCTGGGACTGAGGTCTTGCTTCTCCTAAGGGCCAGGCTGGCATAGTCAGGGATCCAGGATCCAGGCTGCTTCCCTGACCCCGACTGGACCGATGGCCTTGGGCAGCTCTCAGGTGTCTAAGTCTGTCGCCCATCTGTTAGATGTCGACTTCAGAGAGAAGAGAAGGATCCGAAAGGGCCTGGAGTCCAGTTGAGCCCTGAAGGGCGCCCTGGGGCCCAGGTTGCCTGTTGGCCCTGCACTGTTAGCGCTGCCCACTCTGCCTGAAGCAGATAAGGGCCTGGCCCCTGAGCCTGCAGTGCTCTGGGTTTGGAAGCACCCCAAACACCTGGAGGGCCAGCTGCTCACGGGCCAGATAAGGGGAGTATGGGGACATCTGCAGCCCAGGAGGCAGACTCTACCAGCTGGGAAGACACAGTGGGGGGGCACAGGGTCAGATGACAGACAGCTCCCTGGTGGCACAGATGGACATTTTTACTGTCGAACCTATACCGCACAAGTGGCTGTGATGTGCCATCTCTCCCAGTCCCCAGACCACTCTCCTAAGCGGGAGCTAGTAATGTCAGTGGCACCGTGTGACAAAGCCAAGGTTCAGAGGAGTCCATCTACTTCAGCGGCACAGGACATTGGTGTCAGAGGCAGGGTTAAACCCTGGCCTGCAGCTCCACGAACTTTTCTAACCACTGCACTGAGCTGCATCCCAGAGAAGAAAATAACTCTTAGCTGATTAGGAGTTAGAACTTAAGATGAGAACTCTGCAGTCAGACCGCCTGTGTTTATTGCTTAATCCCAGCCCTACCGTCTGCTAACTCTGTGGGCTCAGGAAGACAATCGAGCCTCAGGTTTGTTTTGTTTTGTTTTTCCCATCTGTAAAACAGAGCTGGTAAGAATGACTCCTCTGTGGCAGGCCCTCTGTGCAAACTAAGTCCATTCAGAGAACACATGGCCTTTGCCGGGCACACAGTCTGTCATTGCACCTGCCGCTGCCATCCAGGTCAGGCTTGTGATCGTCCCCCGTCCCTGATTGGCCTCCAGTTCCTATAGAATTAGCTTGAGCTACGGGACCATCAACGGAAAGGGGCTTCTCCTTTCCATTTCAAATACTCTCTGAGTTGGGGACAGTGCCAAGCCTCCAATAGACCCTAGGAGTGTCCCATACTGGAATCAATGTTGGTTGATGTATGGTCTCCTAGGTGAGAGATGGGGTGACCTGAGGATGCCCCACATTTGGAGGAAAGAAAGGCCCGAGAAGAATGAGGCCTGAGTCCATGGGGCTCATGGGGCTAGCAGATAGGACGCAGGTAGGACCTATGGTGGAATGTTTCAGCTTTGCTCCCGGGATGCACTCTGGCCACACATACGCCTCCATCCCTTCATCCTGCCACTGGCTCACTGAGGATCTACATGCACATGGTCACATTACCATCCACCCACCTGCACCCCTGCACCTCCAGGTCACCCGTCTGCACCTCTGGGTCAGGGGTCATACCCTTTGGACACAGATTTAAGCTGGTCACATGCACAAATCCTCAGAAAAGATGCCAAATGACCACCACCCAGCCACTCCCTGCCCTGCCCACCTGCTCAGGAGCCTTGGGGATCCTTTGCGAAGTCCTGCCGCCACCGGTGCCCTCTGCAACTGGTTGAGCTCCCAACTGCTCTAACAGCACCAGCAGGTGCCCTGGGGGAGGCTCCCAAACCCCTGACTCATGCCCTTACCTCCTAATCTGCCCGCCCCACAGCCGGGAGCCCCTTCCCACCCCACCCCCTTGCCCTGCTCCAACTGGGTGCCCCATAAACATAGTTATCTGTCACCCACATCTGGACAGCTGTGCATCAGGCCCACCCCACCCAGCCTGGCCAGTCCCTAAGGCCTTTGGGCCTTTCTGGCCCCTGGGGACTCCTCTGGATCTACCTTCATGGACTGGGGCTTGAGAGCTGAGCTGTCAGGACTCCCAGGTCTCTGGAAGGAAGGCATTGGCCCATGGACACTTCTGCCTAACCTCTGCTCACTCTTCACTCTGGTCAGGTCTTCTCTGGCCCCAAGTCTCAAGACATCTCTCTCCTGCCCATGTCTTCTCTCAAGACTGCCTTTTCTTTGACAGCCTCCCAAGGCTTGTGCTCATGGACCCCTCTCTTCTTCTTGCCCCTGACCTTAACTATGTTGTCCCCCAGACCCCTCTGGCTCCTGAGAGCCACGACACTAACAGTCAACCTGAGACAATGTCCGGTCAAGAAAACAACTGTCCCTACAGGAGCCCTAGCTTACAAAGCTTCTATGTCTGGGCACACTGGCTCCTCTGTGGCAGCCCAGCCCAGGCCCCTAGGCAGAGTAACTGCATTCTTGGCCCCCGCATGCTCCTCCCGTCACACCTCTGACAGAACTGTTCTCTCATCTTGGGAGTGGGGTGCCTTGGCCAGGGCACCTATCTGTGACTGACAGATGGGTTCCACTGGGAGGGAATGAAGAGGTTTAGACCAGACCAAGTTGGGTACTATGGACCTGGAGGGAGGAGAATGCTCTGCCTGGCTCCTTCACTGAGTGACTGGCTGTGAGAACCAGGGCAGCCTCCTGGTCTCTTAGAGCTTTGGTTTCCTCTTGTATCAAGAGACATTCCCGGGGCCAGGGCAGAGCTCAGTTGGTAGAGCACTTGTCTAGTATGCATCAGAGCTCAGTTGGTAGAGCACTTGTCTAGTATGCATGAAGCCCTTTTTTAGATCCCCAGCTACACATAAAACGGGGTGTAGTGGTGTTTACACGTAACTCTAACACTCGGGAGATGTTATGCCAGAACTCACAAGGCAGAGGCAGGTGGACCAGAAGTTCAAGGTCATCCTTGGTTATAAATATATACTTAAGGAGTTCAAGGCCAGTCTGGGACATGCGGAGACAAAGAACCTGTGAGTGAGAGTGAGCACTCAAGTCCCCCTCACACACACAGACCAGGTTCAGGCTCCAACAGTAGGGAAATTGAGAGCCGGTCAAATCAAGCAGTCTCTTTTTTTTTCTTTTTCTTTTTTTTAAGATTTATTTGTTATGTATGCAGTGTTACAGATGGTTGTGAGCCACTATGTGGTTGCTGGGAATTGAACTCACGACCTTTGGAAGAACAGGCAGTGCTCTTAACATCTGAGCCATCTCTCCAGCCCCCGAATCAAGCAGTCTCAGTCACTACCTTGTTCTGGCCAAGTCCCTGCAGAGCTGGAGGATCGGTGGGTCCAGGGCAGAATCCTCTAGAGTAGAAGGGCCTTTGTTGCAGAGGCTGTGCCGGGGGTTCAGCTGGAGTCATGTTTGGTTTTCTCAAGTCCCCCATGCAGAGGAAGTACCTAAACTGACAGAAATGTGATGTGGCTTCCTGTAAGCAAAATGACCAGGGGACAGGACTTCTCCACGCTGGGCACTAAGTCTGAGTTTCATGAAGCCTGCAGGGTGATCAGTACTGCCCAGCTTTTGTCTGTACCCCCCACTCTCCTTTCTTCTTTTTATTTTTTACTTTTTCCCCCCCTGGGTGTGGTGGTACATGCCTTTAAACCCAGCCCTTGAGAAACAGAGGCAGATGGATTTCTATGAGTTCAAGGCTGGCCTGGTCTACATACTGAGTTTCAAGAGAACCAGTGATTTGTAGAGAGACCCAGTCTCAAATTTGTTTGTTTAAATACAGGATTTCACAAAGTTCAAGCTTGTCTTAAACTTGCTATGAAGCCAAGGATAACCTTGGACTTCTGATTCTCAGTTCTGAACTAACAGGTATGCAATACCATGCCCATTTTATCCAGTGCCGAGGATCAAACCCAGGACTTTATGAATGTTAGGCAGGCACTAACTGTATCATATTCCTCAGCCCACTGTTACTCTCTCACAGGAAGCCACCCAACTCAGACCTCCCTGTCTGCTCGGCCAGACAGGGCAGGGGCTTCATGGCAGTTAGGTGACCTGTACCTTGTAGTGGGGTGAAAAGGAGATGGGGAGTATTTGCACGGGGCTGTGACCATTGGGGCTGGAGTCTATTAATACTCTCATGTCCCCTCTCCCATCCCTGCTGTCGAACGTCCTCAGCCAAGCCTTGCTGCATAGGAAGGACCCCCCCTCAGCTGCTGCATGGGGCCAGAAGAAAGAGTGAAGGCGCAAGTTTAGGGCACAGAAGATCAGGGTTTGAAATGGCAGGCAAAGTAAGCAAGTGTCCCAGCAAAGTAGCGTATGATAGCTGGAGCCAGGACTGCAGTGCAGTAGGGGAAAGACATGCCCAGGGGGCCTGGGAAAGCCACTGACTTTCTACGGAAGGTATTACTCTCTCTGGCCACCCCCTTTCCTCTGTGGACCATTGGAACCAAATGGAGTGATGGGCGGATGGGAGTTTGGAAGCACTGCGCCCTTTGGATGTGGGGTGGGGCTCAGTTGAGGACAGGGTTTCTGAGACTGGAGTACCTCCTGGGTGGGTGCTCAGACTATCCATTCCTGGGAACTCACGTCTAATGGGGTAGACGAGAGCAACCCACAGTAAACACAGAGTGTGGTGAGGAGTGAGGCACTTGCATCCTCTGACAGACCTTGAGCAGTTTGTGGTTTTTCTTCTGGTTTGCACTAGGATGCCAAAGAAAATGCTCCCCATGCTTCTTGCCTGTCTTTGTGGCAGTCCAGATTGAATTGGAGAGTACATGTATTAAAAAAGGGGGGGGGACTGAGGGGGTTGGAGAGATGACTCAGTGGTTAAGAGCACTGACTGCTCTTCCAGAAGACCCTGGCAGCTCACAACTGTGAGGGGACCACACATTCATGGCAGACACCAATGCACATTAAAAAAAAAAAAAAAAAAGAGTGGCAACCAAGGAGACAACACCTGAGAAGTCTTACTTGTCTCCAAGTGAGCTGAGCCTTGAAGAAATTCCTTAGGACAGAGAGCAAGGAGTCAGGGTGGGGGTGAGGCAGAGGGGAAGGGCAGTCTCAGGGGAGAACACAGAAAGGATGGGGGATGTACATGCAGTCAGGGCTCCAACACTCCCGGGGAGCACGGTGGGGAGTGGGAGGTGGCGCGGGGACTAGAAAGGCCATTCTTTCTATTTCTCCAGTGCTCTGGGTGCCCCCATCTGCCCGGCCAGCACCTTTTTTTTTTTTTTTTTTTTTTTTTGGTTTTTCGAGACAGGGTTTCTCTGTATTGTTTTGGAGGCTATCGGTCCAGCCCAGCCTCGAACTCACAGAGATCCGCCTGCCTCTGCCTCCCGAGTGCTGGGATTAAAGGCGTGCGCCACCACTGCCCGGCCTGGCCAGCACCTTAGTGGGGCCTTGGGACTGAGAGGAAAGAGGAGATTCTCCTAGCCACGATAGCAGGGCCAGATCTGAGAGGAAAGCTGGCTGTAGGCCTCCTCTTAGGAAATACACAGTGGGGCTGCTCTTCAGGGTCCAGAGGTGGGGGTGGTGCTCCTGCTCGCCCAAGAGGACAGAGAGGGCTTGGCTGGCTCAGGAAGGAGTCTCCCAAAACACAGGGTCTGCTTGAGGAGCCCCAGACCCCCTTCTGGGCTCGCCATGGGATGCATGCCCATCTGTGAATGCATTCTTTGTTTTCCCGGTTTCTGGGCTTTTCTCATCCCTTTGCTTGTCCTGAGCCGCACTTGGTCCCCAGCCCCAAACCCACTGAACTGAAGCTGTGATCTTCAAGGATGAACTCATGTGCTCCCGGCTCTGTCCTGGGACTGGGGGGAGGGGGAGGGCCTCAGCCCAGAGGTCCTCACACCCCTCTCTGCTGTGGCAGGTCTTCCATGCCTGGCCCCCCTCCACAGACCATGAACCCCAAAGACAAGGACCATTGCTTTCCGGCTCTTCTCTCTGTCCTGGCTCAGCTGGGATGCTACTGGGTTTCTTTCCTCAGCTTCCCAGGCACTGGGACTCCACATGAACACCTGGCTTCATAGTCCGTGTGTTTGTGGATCTGAATGGGATCTGGGCAAAACTGGCTCTCTAGTCACACTGCCTCTGGAAACTCAGTAAGGTCACACAGAGTGGGAAGCCAAGCAGGCTCAAAGCCAGTCTCTTAGCCATATTCTCCTAGACACACAACAGTGTTTGAGGAAGGTCATATGAATGACATAGTGACAGTATTATTTGTTTCTAATATTTTTTTCTTTTTGGTTTTTCAAGACAAGGTTTCTCTGTATTGTTTTGGAGGCTGTGCTGGAACTCGCTCTGTAGACCAGGTTGGCCTCGAACTCAGAGATCCACCTGTCTCTGCCTCCCAAGTGCTGGGATTAAAGGCATGGACCACCACTGCCCGGCTTCTAATCATTTCTTAAACAAGCAAAGAGACACTCTGGGCCTCCTTCAGCCTCCTCCCTCATCACCCCACCCCAGACAGCTGTTTCTTTGACTATTTTCCTCTCCTTACTCCTAAATCCCACCCCAGCCCTTTCCACCTTGCTTCTCTATTGCCACTGGCCTTCCCTAAGCTCTCATATTTCCAGTCAGTCCAGGGGTCTCGCATGTGACCTCATTCTTCCCCTGGATCCAACAGCACAGCTGTCACAAACCGATCAGAATGGTCTTTTAGAACCATCTGTCAGGTTAGGTGGTGGTGATGCACACCTTTAATCCCAGCACTTGGGAGGCAGAAGCAGGCAGATCTCGAGGCCAGTCTGGTCTACAGAATGAGTTCTGAGAC